GTCCCTGGACCAATTATGTACCTGTACCTACCTGTGAGAGAATTGTCCTCAGGTTAAAACTGAGTTATTATCACTATTAAAAACTATCCTGAATATTTGTGTATACATCAGTCAGTCAGCGACGGACATATTTAACACAAAATTTATCGTATATCGCCTACACAACATTCTTAACAATAATTCGAGGGTAACTATATTCTGAACACTAGTATATGAGGTGAACCTCAGTAAATTTGAATAACAGAAATTTGTAAGAAAAATTTGATTGTATAGCTTACTTCGCCTGCCTCTGAGACTTCTTTTATTCCAAGAGGTCTCAGAGCAAGAAGTAACCATGGATTCTCACAGCTCCAGCGATGATGAGTTTGTGGTGATTGTCCCTTCCGTTGAGGATCACCGGAAGCTCCGGGATAAGGTCATCCAACAGGCAAAAGAAGATATGGAAGTCAACAGGGCAGTGTATGCTAAAAATATCGATTTCGGAAGAACCCAATCCGAGGTCTATCAGCATTTTAAGAAGTTCGGTGAGATCATTAGTTTTACCATGGAGTCTTACATTACTCCAGAGAGTCACCGTGGCTGGGCTCTTGTAAAATATAATAGGAATTCTCTAACACACAGAGTTGTAAGAGAGGACCACGAAGAGATCAGTATGGCAGGAAGGAAGGTGTACTTAGGTTGAGTACGACGTCGATATTAATAAGGCCGAAGTCACTGAAAAAACCCTTCCAGGAACAAAAGAAAGTATGCTAACTATCGAGGCTTCACCACCACCAGTGATCACAGCTGCTACTAATGTCTCACCACCACCAGTGATCACAGCTGCTACTAAAGTCTCACCACCACCAGTGATCACAGCTGCTACTAAGGTCTCACCACCACCAGTGATCACAGCTGCTACTAAGGTCTCACCACTACCAGTGATCACAGCTGCTACTAAAATCTCACCACCACCAGTGATCACAGCTGCTAACTAAGGTCTCACCACCACCAATGATCACAGCTGTTTCTAAGGTCTCCCAGCACCAGTGATCACAGCTGCTACCCAAAACCCCACCCCCACCATGATCACAGGTGCTACTAAGGTCTCACCCAACAGTGATCACAGCTGCTACTAAGGTCTCACCACCACCAGTGATCACAGCTGCTACCAAAACCTCACCACCACCAAACCTGAACCAAAAAATTTCCTTGAAAAGGGCACTAGTTGTGTCAGAGTCCAGCGATACACGATCTTCCTCACCAAGAAAAGAAAAAAATCTATTTGGAACAGAATCTCCCCACCAATGGATGAACCTACTACCGGAGTTTCCCCACCAAGAATCACTGCTAGGAAAAGGATCTCCCCACCAAGAGATGAACCTACTACCAGAGTCTCCCCAGCAGATTCACCGTTAGGAGCAGAATCTCCCCACCAAGGGATGAACCTACTACCAGAGTCTCCCAGCAAGAATCACTGTTAGGAGAAGAATCTCCCCACCAAGGGATGAACCTACTACCAGAGTCTCCCCAGCAAGAATCACTGTTAGGAGAAGAATCTCCCCACCAAGGGATGAACCTACTACCAGAGTCTCCCCAGCAAGAATCAATGTAAGGAGAAAGAATCTCCCACCAAGGGATGAACCTGTTTTCCAGAGTTTCCCCATCCTCAAATTGGAACAATTTAAAATTTTCTACAAAAAGGACAGTGGACATTTCAGATACAAGGGGAAAACCAACTTAAAACAAAAAGAAAGTAAAATTGTCTAGGAACAATTTCAGAATTACCTTTGACAAATTTAAAAAAACTTGTTTTAAAATGCAGAAAAAAAAATATTTAAAAAACAAATAGATTGTGTTTTGGAGGGCGACGAAAACTCTGGCAGAATTTAAATAAAATTTTCGTTTTATTTGTAAGATTATTTTTACTTTAAGTTAATGCTTAGGAAGAGTTAATATTTATGTTCATTTTTAAGTTAATATACTTATTATAAGTTAATATTTAAGTTTGGGGAAAGGAGAGAAGAGATGATAGTATTGAATGAATACTACACAACATTCATCACTACACAACATTCATCACTACACAACATTCATCACTACACAACATTCATCACTACACAACATTCATCACTACACAACATTCATCACTACACAACATTCATCACTACACAACATTCATCACTACACAACATTCATCACTACACAACATTCATCACTACACAACATTCATCACTACACAACATTCATCACTACACAACCATCACTACACAACATTCATCACTACAGAACCATCACTGCACAACATCCATCACTTCATAACATTCATCACTACACAACTTTTTTAACAGAATTCGAGGGTAACTATATTCTGAACACTAGTATATGAGGTGAACCTCAGTAAATTTGAATAACAGAAATTTGTAAGAAAAATTTGATTGTATAGCTTACTTCGCCTGCCTCTGAGACTTCTTTTATTCCAAGAGGTCTCAGAGCAAGAAGTAACCATGGATTCTCACAGCTCCAGCGATGATGAGTTTGTGGGTGAAACGTCCCTTCCGTTGAGGATCACCGGAAGCTCCGGGATAAGGTCATCCAACAGGCAAAAGAAGATATGGAAGTCAACAGGGCAGTGTATGCAAAAAATATCGATTTCGGAAGAACCCAATCCGAGGTCTATCAGCATTTTAAGAAGTTCGGTGAGATCATTAGTTTTACCATGGAGTCTTACATTACTCCAGAGAGTCACCGTGGCTGGGCTCTTGTAAAATATAATAGGAATTCTCTAACACACAGAGTTGTAAGAGAGGACCACGAAGAGATCAGTATGGCAGAAAGGAAGGTGTACCTTAGAGTTGAGTATGACGTCGATATTAATAAGGCCAAAGTCACTGAAAAAACCCTTCCAGGAACAAAAGAAAGTATGCTAATTGTCGAGGCTTCACCACCACCAGTGATCACAGCTGCTACTAAGGTCTCACCACCACCAGTGATCACAGCTGCTACTAAGGTCTCACCACCACCAGTGATCACAGCTGCTACTAAGGTCTCACCACCACCAGTGATCACAGCTGCTACTAAGGTCTCACCACCACCAGTGATCACAGCTGCTACTAAGGTCTCACCACCACCAGTGATCACAGCTGCTACTAAGGTCTCACCACCACCAGTGATCACAGCTGCTACTAAGGTCTCACCACCACCAGTGATCACAGCTGCTACTAAGGTCTCACCACCACCAGTGATCACAGCTGCTACTAAGGTCTCACCACCACCAGTGATCACAGCTGCTACTAAGGTCTCACCACCACCAGTGATCACAGCTGCTACTAAGGTCTCACCACCACCAGTGATCACAGCTGCTACCAAAACCTCACCACCACCAGTGATCACAGCTGCTACCAAAACCTTACCACCACCAAACCTGAACCATAAAATTTCCTTGAAAAGGGCACTAGTTGTGTCAGAGTCCAGCGATACACGATCTTCCTCACCAAGAAAGAAAAACTCTATTTGGAACAGAATCTCCCCACCAATGGATGAACCTACTACCGGAGTTTCCCTACCAAGAATCACTGCTAGGAAAAGGATCTCCCCACCAAGAGATGAACCTACTACCAGAGTCTCCCCAGCAAGACTCACCGTTAGGAGCAGAATCTCCCCACCAAGGGATGAACCTACTACCAGAGTCTCCCCAGCAAGAATCACTGTTAGGAGAAGAATCTCCCCACCAAGGGATGAACCTACTACCAGAGTCTCCCCAGCAAGAATCAATGTAAGGAGAAGAATCTCCCCACCAAGGGATGAACCTGTTACCAGAGTTTCCCCATCCTCAAATTGGAACAATAAAATTTCTACAAAAAGGACAGTGGACATTTCAGATACAAGGGAAAACCAACTTCCAGCAAAAAGAAAAGTAAAATTGTCTAGGAACAATTTCAGAATTACCTTTGACAATTGAAAAAGCTTGTTAAAGTGCAGAAAAAAATATATAATAACAAATAGATTGTGTTTTATGGAGACGACGAAAACTCTGGCAGAATTATAAATAATTATCGGTTTTATTTGTAAGATTATTTTTACTTAAGTTAATGTTTGGAAGAGTTAATATTTTATGTTCAATTTTTAGTTAATATATTTTATAAGTTAATATTAAGTTTGGGGATAGGAGAAAGAGATGATAGTATTGAATGAATACTACACAACTTCATCACTACACAACATTCTCATACACAAATTCATCACTACACAAATTCATCACACACAACATTCATCATACACAACATTCATCACTACACAACATTCATCACTACACAACATTCATCACTACACAACATTCATCACTACACAACATTCATCACTACACAACATTCATCACTACACAACATTCTCACTACACAACATTCATCACTACACAACATTCACATTTCACAACATTCACACTACACAACATTCATCACTACACAACATTCATCACTACACAACATTATCACTACACAACATCCCTCACTACACAACATTCATCACTACACAACATTCATCCCCTACACAACATTCATCACTACACAACATTCATCACTACACAACATTCATCACTACACAAAAATTCATCACTACACAACATTCATCACTACACAACATTCATCACTACACAACATTCATCACTACACAACATTCATCACTACACAACATTCATCACTACACAAATTCATCACTACACAACATTCATCACTACACAACATTCATCGGTAAATCAACATTCATCATACACATCATTCATCACTACACAACATTCATCACTACACAACATTCATCGGTACTCAACATTCATCACTCACAACATTCACATACACAACATTCATCGGTACTCAACATTCATCACTACATAACATTCATCACTACATAACATTCATCACTACACAACATTCATCAGTACTCAACCATCACTGCACAACATTCATCACTACACAACATTCATCACTACACAACATTCATCACTGCACAACATCCATCACTACATAACATTCATCACTACATAACATTCATCACTACAGAACCATCACTGCACAACATCCTTTACTACATAAATTCATCACTACATAACATTCATCACTACAGAACCATCACTACACAACATCCATCACTACATAACATTCATCACTACACAACCATCACTACACAACATTCATCACTTGTCTGTGAGTGCCTGAAGACCAGCCAGCACAGGAGAGCGATGATCTACAGTGCCAGATACTGGTCTGTGAGTGCCTGGAGACCAGCCAACACAGGAGAGTGATGGTCTACAGTGCCAGATACTGGTCTGTGAGTGCCTGGAGACCAGCCAACACAGAAGAGTGATGGTCTACAGTGCCAGATACTGGTCTGTGAGTGCCTGGAGACCAGCCAACACAGGAGAGTGATGGTCTAGAGTGCCAGATACTGGTCTGTGAATGCCTGGAGACCAGCCAACACAGGAGAATGATGGTCTACAGTGTCAGATACTGGTCTGTGAATGCCTGGAGACCAGCCAACACAGGAAAGTGATGGTCTACAGTGCCAGATACTGGTCTGTGAGTGCCTGGAGACCAGCCAACACAGGAAATTGATGGTCTACAGTGCCAGATACTGGTCTTTGAGCACCTGGAGACCAGCCAACACAGGAGAGGTCTGTAGGGTGCGTAGTTTAGCCATCTCCCGCTGTACATCCTGCAGTCAACAGTATTTTAGTATACAAGGAGAAACATTAACCTTCAGAGTCACACAAAATCCATTCTATAAAGGGAACAATATCGCCAATCCCTTGACTCAAGAAACTTTTAAGTGTATCAAGGTAACATCGCCCCTGCTTTGAAGGAAAGGTCTTTATAACACCTTACCTTCAAGGAAGGGACAGTGGGTATTGGGTGACTACCACCCACAGGATGGGTATGGGGTGAATACTACCCACAGGATGGGTATGGGGTGACTACCACCCACAGGATGAGTATAGGTGAATACCAACCCCTGGATGGGTATGGGGTGAATACCACCCACTGGATAGTATGGGGTGAATACCACCCACTGGATAGTATGGGGTGAATACCACCCACTGGATAGTATGGGGTGAATACCATCCACTGGATAGTATGGGGTGAATACCACCCACTGGATGGGTGCAAAATAAAGATATCAAACTGACCTGAACAAGGATGGTGTTGCGAGTCAGTGCCTCCTGGTAGTGACCCTGGAGGTGAGTGTCACTCTGCTGTGACCTCTCCTGCTGTGTCAGCCTCATACTCTCCCTCGCTGACCTGTTCAACCCCCAGTCATAATTAATATTAACCAAACACACACACACACCTCTGTACCTCAGAATGTGACAGTATCTCTCAATGTGATACACATATACTAAATTATTATTTAGTATATAGTATAGTACTATATAATAATTTTCTAATAATACTCACAGTTCTTTTCTTTTTGTGTTCAATTCCTCCAATTTTTTGTCCATATCTTTGTTCATTGTCGAAATTTATCAGTTTTCTCTCCTTGTGATATATTTAAATTATTTTAAATAAATCAGATTTCTTAAGTATATGTAGGCACATGTATATATAAGTATAACTGTCATACATCTTGGTGTATTCTGGTATTATTATGTATACAAAAAGCAGAAATGGTGGTCAAAATAGTGATCAATGTTGTATTTATCAGTTATATTTGTTGTGATTATTTACCAGTACATGTTATACAGGGGATATATACACTGGGAGGTGTATGTATACCTGGTATACTATCATACCTGGTATACTATCATACCTGGTATACCATCATACCTGGTATACTATCATACCTGGTATACTATCATACTGGTATACTATCATACCTGGTATACCATCATATCTGGTATACCATCATATCATGGTATACTATCATACTGGTATACTATCATACCTGGTATACTATCATATCTGGTATTACTATCATACCTGGTATACTATCACATCTTATTACTAATCTTACCTGGTATACCATCATACCTGGTATTACTATTATACTGGTATACATATCATACTGGTATTCATTCATACTGGTATACTATCATACCTGGTATACTTATATCTGGTATTATCATACCTGGTTATACTATCATACCTGGTATTACTATCATACCTGGTATTACTATTCTATCTGGTTATACTATCATACCTGGTATATATCATATACTGGTATAATCATACCTGGTATAATATCATATCCTGGTATATACTATCATACTGGTATACTATCATAACCTGGATATACTATCATTACTGGTTTACTTTCATACTGGTATACTATCATACCTGGTATACCATCATATCTGGTATACTATCATACCTGTATACTATACATACTGGTATACTATCATACTGGATTACTATCATATCTGGTATACTATCATACCTGGTATACTATCATACCTGGTATACATCATATCTGGTATACTATCATACCTGGTATACTATCATATCTGGTATACTATCATTACCTGGTATACTATCATATTGGTATTACTATTCATTACCTGGTATACTATCATACTGGTATACTATCATACCTGGTATTACTATCATACTGGTATACTATCATAACCTGGTATACTATCTATCTGGTGATACTATCATACATGGGTATACTATCATACCTGGTATACTATCATATCTGCGTATACTATCATACCTGGATACTATCATTACCTGGTTATACTATCTACCTGGTTACTATCATACCTGGTATTACCTGGAGTTTACCTGGAGAGAGTTCCAGGGGTCAACGCCCCCGCGGCCCGGTCTGTGACCAGGCCTCCTGGTGGATCAGAGCCTGATCAACCAGGCTGTTACTGCTGGCTGCACGCAAACCAACGTGCGAGCCACAGCCTGGCTGGTCAGGAACCGACTTTAGGTGCTTGTCCAGTGCCAGCTTGAAGACTGCCAGGGGTCTGTTGGTAATCCCCCTTATGTATGCTGGGAGGCAGTTGAACAGTCTCGGGCCCCTGACACTTATTGTATGGTCTCTTAACGTGCTAGTGACACCCCTGCTTTTCATTGGGGGGATGTATACCATCATACCTGGTATACTATCATACCTGGTATACCATCATACCTGTATACTATCATACCTGGTATACTATCATACCTGGTATATTCATACCTGGTATACCATCATACACTGGTATACTATCATACCTGGTATACCATCATAACCTGGTATACCATCATACCTGGTATACCATCATACCTGGTATACCAATCATACATAGTATACCATCATACCTGTTAGTATCCATCATACCTGGTATTACCATTATACCTAGTATACCTCATACCTGGTATACCATCATACCTAGTATACCATCATACCTGGTATACCATCATACCTGGTATACCATCATAACTGGTATACCATCATACCTGGTATACCATCATACATAGTATACCATCATACCTGGTATACCATCATACCTGGTATACCATCATACCTGGTATACCATCATACCTAGTATACCATCATACCTAGTATACCATCATACCTGGTATTTCCATCATACCTAGTATACCATCATACCTGGTATACCATCATACCTAGTATACCATCATACCTAGTATACCATCATACCTTGTATACCATCATACCTGGTATACCATCATACCTGGTATACCATCATACCTGGTATACCATCATACCTGGTATACCATCATACCTGGTATACCATCATACCTGGTATACCATCATACATAGTATACCATCATACCTGGTATACCATCATACCTAGTATACCATCATACCTAGTATACCATCATACCTAGTATACCATCATACCTGGTATACCATCATACCTGGATTACCATCATACCTGGTATACCATCATACCTAGTATACATCATACCTAGTATTACCATCATACCTAGTTATACCATCATACCTGGTATACCATCATACCTGGTATACCATCATACCTGGTATACCATCATACCTGGTATACCATCATACCTGGTATACCATCATACCTGGTATACCATCATACCTGGTATACCATCATACCTAGTATACCATCATACCTGGTATACCATCATACCTAGTATACCATCATACCTAGTATACCATCATACCTAGTATACCATCATACCTGGTATACCATCATACCTGGTATACCATCATACCTGGTATACCATCATACCTAGTATACCATCATACCTAGTATACCATCATACCTAGTATTTCCATCATACCTGGTATACCATCATACCTGGTATACCATCATACCTGGTATACCATCATACCTGGTATACCATCATACCTGGTATACCCTCATACCTGGTATACATCGTACTGGTATACCATCGTACCTGGTATACCATCATACCTGGTATTTCCATCATTACCCGGTATACCATCATACCTGGTATACCATTCATACCTGGTATACCATCATACCTGGTATACCATCATACCTGGTATACCATCATACCTGGTATACCATCATACCTGGTATACCATCATACCTGGTATACCATCATACCTGGTATACCATCGTACCTGGTATACCATTGTACCTGGTATACCATCATACCTGGTATACCATCATACCTGGTATACCATCATACCTGGTATACCATCATACCTGGTATACCATCATACCTGGTATACCATCATACCTGGTATACCATCATACCTGGTATACCATCATACCTGGTATATCGTCATTCACCACAAGTGCGTCAAGGATCTCAATGGTAATAAGTCACTTTGTCTTGGGTTATCTTGTATGATAATTGTACTTATGTAAACATCTTCCTAAATAAACTTACAAAGTCTATAATATTAAATGTTATGACAAGTGTCAATATTATTGTTTGTTACTGTTGTCATGGTAACCAGCATTCAATTATGACCGAAAATTTCAGTAAGGGATCATTTACTTCGTAGTTTTTGTTTCAGTAAGAATACTTAAAGCATGATTTTTTTTTTTTGCAACTGCTTGTTGTATATTACATACACCCACGGAGAGTTTACGAAGTCGCTAATGGAAATAATTTCAAGCATTTGTCGTTTTCGGGTTATATTTATATAATGTACTTTTTAATGTGATAACATGTGTCCTCAAGATCATTGTTTAAAGATATATATTTTTGCGTATTATTTAACCAAAGGTTCAATGGAAAGTTGAGGAAATAAGGATCACAATGGAAATAAGTCACTTTATCTGACCTTTTTCATGTTACTCTAGGCAATATACACATATATTACCATGTATGATAATTTGTGTAAGCATATTTATGTGTAACTGTGCCTAAATAAACATACTAACTAACTTACTAATAATGATTGAATCAGTTGTGAATGTGAGTGTGTTTACATGAGAGGTCATGGCTGACCAAGACCCTGATAATTTATCAACCAGCGCTGATGAAGTCGATTATCCCCCTAATAACTATATCTATCGATGGATTGATGTCATGTTTGTCGTGGGAGGGATGTGCACATACTTCTTAGACTGGGTAAGACTGGGATTTTGTGGTTTTTAGGAGAAATTTGATTCGGCGCATTTTGCTGCCAGTGACTTGGGGGATTTTATGTAATTTTTGAGCAAGAGTTGTATATATCTAACCTCTTAAGGGGCTCTTTGATGCTGGTGAGTGGCTCTTGATCCAAGCAATGGGCTCAGTTGGTAGCCGGTTCAGTTCTCTATTAGGAACCAAGGTTTGATCACCGGCACGAGTGGAAGAGCCGGTCATGTTTCCTTATTTACCTAGCAGTAAGTAGGTACCTGGCTGAGGCGCCTTACATTTGTTGTCACTGTTCACCTAGCAATAAGTAGGTACCTGGAGGTTACCTGGAGAGAGTTCTGGGGGTCAATGCCCCCGTGGCCCGGTCTGCGACCAGGCCTCCTGTTGGATCAGAGCCTGATCAACCAGGCTGTTGCTGCTGGCTGCACGCAAACCAACGTACGAGCCACAGCCCGGCTGATCAGGAACTGACTTTAGGTGCTTGTCCAGTGCCAGCTTGAAGACTGCCAGGGGTCTGTTGGTAATCCCCCTTATGTGTGCTGGGAGGCAGTTGAACAGTCTCGGGCCCCTGACACTTATTGTGTGGTCTCTTAACATGCTAGTGACACCCCTGCTTTTCATTGGGGGGATGTTGCATCGTCTGCCAAGTCTTTTGCTTTCGTAGTGAGTGATTTTCGTGTGCAAGTTCGGTACTAGTCCCTCTAGGATTTTCCAGGTGTATATAATCATGTATCTCTCCCGCCTGCATTCTGCGAACCCGCGGTCAGAGAGTCTCAAAACTCCAGACCGTCAAGTTAGCCACTGAAAGCGGGTTCAATCCCCACCTGTGGTATGGTTTGTTTGCAATCATGTCATTACGATTTCGTGAGTCATCCTCTGGTCTCCTCACAGTGTTCTAAACTTAGCCTAATTTTCTCTCATTTAATTTTATAAAACCAGATATAACACAAAAATAAATCTAGTACATGAAGAAATCTGTTTTATGTGGCATTGACTCGATCTTAAAATTCTCAGTAAGATATACTACCAGTCACAGTAATCGTAATTACTGTAATTAAAAAGTTAATCATCCTTAACCAGTTCTTTTCAATTAATGAACACTCTCCAGGTATTAATGTTGATTGAAACTTAAGGAGCAGTAACATAATACTGTGTTGTATAAGTTTTTCCTTAGGCAGAGAGCAATTACAGCAATTCTTAAACAAAGGGTAACTCTACCTGACATCTGCTGGTGAGGGGCTCTTGGTCCAGGGAATTGGATCTGTTCTCCAGGTCCCTGAATTAAACCTGAATACCTTCCACATTCCCCTTCAGGCGCTGTATAATCGTACGGGTTTAGCGCTTCCCCCTTGATTATCATAATAATCATCATCTACCTGACATCAAAATAGGAAAGGTCCATTTTTTTTTTTAATTGGGATGAAAAATTACATCAACACTGCATTATTGTTACTTTGCATTTTATGTCACTAGATGTTTGTCAGCAGTGTGAAGGCTGACCCTTTCCAGAAGCTCTGGTTATGTTAGGCCTTACTGTATTGCTGTACATAAATAACCCGCACATAAAAGAGAGAAGCTTTACGACGACGTTTCGGTCCGAGCTGGACCATTTACAAAGTCACACTTTGTAAATGGTCCAGCTCGGACCGAAACGTCGTCGTAAAGCTTCTCTCTTTTATGTGCGGGTTATTTGTGTATCGTTCCAGTCACGGTATTGTGCCTTTTTTTGTTATTGCTGTACATTACAGTACACATACAGTACTGTATATATTTTTGCCTGTAGTATATTTCTCACCATTGTGAAGGCTGAATCTAAGCTTGTGTTATGTCATGTAGCTTTGCATTTGCAATATAATGTATAGCTGTATGTCACACTTTTAAGGTAGCTTTTGTAATCTTGGCTTGCGAAGCAATGATTGTCTTGCCAAATAAGCTGATGTAGAGTCATTGTTACAATAACCTGCAAAAATGAATCTGAACATCAGAGAATTAATACATTTTATTGTTGTTAAATAATATTGCTTAAGATAGTTTGTTTAGTATTAAGCTGAATTATTTTATGTTAATTTAAGCAGAATTAGGTGGTGTTGCCAAGTTATTTTGATGCAAAATTTATATTTTTTAAGCATGCTAATTCACAGAAATATATGCATAAGATCATTTTTGCAATAAGACAGTTTTATTGCACTTTGGCTTGTGTGACCAACTCTGAAAAAGTAAACACAATGTGTAAATTTTTGCACGCGTGTTCTGTACTAGCTTGAAGGCTGATTTATTCCTTAGGCTTGAGTTATGTTTCACTTCATTATGCAACATATATTTTTGCTGCAAAGATACTTGAGCAGTGTGCACCTTTATTCTTGGCTCTCTTCTTTCAGGGTTTGGACATACTAACTGCGTACACCCACTGGAAGCATAATGACGTCGTCTGGTTCGCGCTTACTGTAATTTTTATAAGCGTTCCATCTTTAGTTATGACTGGTGTTTCACTTCATTGGTAACTGTTGAGTGTTTATTTTGCAAAGAGCTTTTTCTCTAATAAGTTTGCAATGTGGCCTTCTCTCTCTTTTTAATTGCTCTCATGCAATGTTTAAATAAATCTATTTAGAATTAAAATTCAGAGGTTTTATTTAAAATTGCATATTTTTAATTGTTTTAACACTAGCCCACAGTTATTAACTTACAGTATTTATAGTTAAAGTATGTATACTGTCTTCATTCAGTGGCTCAAACATATCATGTATATTATATACACAGAGTATATACAAGAGGGTGATTTTATCTACAGGATCTAAAGTTAAATTTAATTCTTACTGAGTTTTATATAATGGTCTGACTGTTTATGGATTCCAGTATAAGCCTTAAGGTGTGCATTATTATGTTAGATACTTCATTAGGTAGTAGGATGGTAGACAGCAACCACCCAGGGAAGTACTACCGTCCTGCCAGATGACTGTGAAACAGAAACCTGTAACTGTTTTGCATGATGGTAGGATTGCTGGTTTCTTTTTCTGTCTCATAAACACGCTAGATAACAGGGATATCTTGCTACTCCTACTTACACTTTGGTCACACTTCACAGACAGCACATGCATATATATTATATATATATATATATAATATATATATTATTATATATTTTATAATATATTTTATATATATATATTATATATATGTCATACATAATCTAGGTTTTTCCCTTTTTCTAATAGCTCTTGTCTTCTTATTTCTTCTATTTTCCATGGGGAAGTGGAAAAGTAATCTTTCCTCCGTAAGCCATCTTCGTAGAGGCGACTAAAATCGGGAGCAATTGGCTAGTAACCCCTTCCTGTAGACATTTACTAAAAGAGAGAAGAAACTTATAAAATGGATGCTGAATGTGCGTGGATGTAGTGCGGATGACAAGAAACAGATGATTGCTAATGTTATGAATGAAAAGAAGTTGGATGTCCTGGCCCTAAGCGAAACAAAGCTGAAGGGGGTAGGGGAGTTTCGGTGGGGGGAAATAAATGGGATTAAATCTGGAGTATCTGAGAGAGTTAGACAAAGGAAGGTAGCAGTAATGTTGAAGGATCAGTTATGGAAGGAGAAAAAGAATATGAATGTGTAAATTCAAGAATTATGTGGATTAAAGTAAAGGTTGGATGCGAAAAGTGGGTCATAATAAGCGTGTATTCACCTGGGAAGAGAGGAATGTAGAGGAGAGAGAGAGATTTTGGGAGATGTTAAGTGAATGTATAGGAGCCTTCGAACCAAGTGAGGAGTAATTGTGGTAGGGGACCTGAATGCTAAAATAGGAGAAACTTTTAGAGAGGGTGTGGTAGGTAAGTTTGGGGTGCCAGGTGTAAATGATAATGGGAGCCCTTTGATTGAACTTTGTATAGAAAGGGGTTTAGTTATAGGTAATACATATTTTAAGAAAAAGAGGATAAATAAGTGATACAAGATATGATGTAGGGCGAAATGACAGTAGTTTGTTGGATTATGTATTGGTAGATAAAAGACTGTTGAGTAGACTTCAGGATGTACATGTTTATAGAGGGGCCACAGATATATCAGATCACTTTTTAGTTGTAGCTACACTGAGAGTAAAAGGTAGTTGGGATACAAGGAGAATAGAAGCATCAGGGAAGAGAGAGGTGAAGGTTTATAAACTAAAAGAGGAGGCAGTTAGGGTAAGATATAAACAGCTATTGGAGGATAGATGGGCTAATGAGAGCATAGGCAATGGGGTTGAAGAGGTATGGGGTAGGTTTAAAAATGTAGTGTTGAGTGTTCAGCAGAAGTTTGTGGTTACAGGAAGGTGGGTGCGGGAGGGAAGAGGAGGATTGGTGGAATGATGATGTAAAGAGAGTAGTAAGGGAGAAAAAGTTAGCATATGAGAAGTTTTTACAAAGTAGAAGTGATGCAAGGAGGGAAGAGTATATGTAGAAAAAGAGGAGGTTAAGAGAGTGGTGAAGCAATGTAAAAAGAGAGCAAATGAGAGAGTGGGTGAAATGTTATCAACAAATTTTGTTGAAAATAAGAAAAAGTTTTGGAGTGAGATTAACAAGTTAAGGAAGCCTAGAGAACAAATGGATTTGTCAGTTAAAAATAAGAGGAGAGTTATTAAATGGAGAGTTAGAGGTATTGGGAAGATGGAGGGAATATTTTGAGGAATTGTTAAATGTTGATGAAGATAGGGAAGCTGTGATTTCGTGTATAGGGCAAGGAGGAATAACATCTTGTAGGAGTGAGGAAGAGCCTGTTGTGAGTGTGGGGGAAGTTTGTGAGGCAGTAGGTAAAATGAAAGGGGTAAGGCAGCCGGGATTGATGGGATAAAGATAGAAATGTTAAAAGCAGGTGGGGATATAGTTTTGGAGTGGTTGGTGCAATTATTTAATAAATGTATGGAAGAGGGTAAGGTACCTAGGGATTGGCAGAGAGCATGCATAATTCCTTTGTATAAAGGCAAAGGGGACAAAAGAGAGTGCAAAAATTATAGGGGATAAGTCTGTTGAGTATACCTGGTAAAGTGTATGGTAGAGTTATTATTGAAAAAATTAAGAGTAAGACGGAGAATAGGATAGCAGATGAACAAGGAGGCTTTAGGAAAGGTAGGGGGTGTGTGGACCAGGTGTTTACAGTGAAACACATAAGTGAACAGTATTTAGATAAGGCTAAAGAGGTCTTTGTGGCATTTATAGATTTGGAAAAGGCGGACGACAGGGTGGATAGGGGGGCAATGTGGCAGATGTTGCAGGTGTATGGTGTAGGAGGTAGGTTACTGAAAGCAGTGAAGAGTTTTTATGAGGATAGTGAGGCTTAAGTTAGAGTATGTAGGAAAGAGGGAAATTATTTCCCAGTAAAAGTAGACCTTAGACAAGGATGTGTGATGTCACCCTGGTTGTTTAATATATTTATAGATGGGGTTGTAAGAGAAGTAAATGCGAGGGTCTTGGACTTCCAGCAGGCATGCGTGAGCGTGTTTGATAGGAGTGAATGGAGACAAATGGTTTTTAATACTTGACGTGCTGTTGGAGTGTGAGCAAAGTAACATTTATGAAGGGGTTCAGGGAAACCGGCAGGCCGGACTTGAGTCCTGGAGATGGGAAGTACAGTGCCTGCACTCTGAAGGAGGGGTGTTAATGTTGCAGTTTAAAAACTGTAGTGTAAAGCACCCTTCTGGCAAGACAGTGATGGAGTGAATGATGGTGAAAGTTTTTCTTTTTCGGGCCACCCTGCCTTGGTGGGAATCGGCCAGTGTGATAATAAAAAATAATAATAATACTTCATTAGTAAAAGTTAATTAGGTAAATACTCAGTGTATCATAATCTACACTTGAAGATGGTGAAGAGAATAGTTCCATATCTACACACTGAAATTATTCCTCATAGATACATAGTAGATGGTTTAAAATACTTCTCAATTGAAAGCAGGGATGCAGTAAGTACACTGAGAGGTACAGTGACTCAATAAGCATAAAGTGTTTAGGATATTTTGATGATTTATCTGTCCTATATCTGGGAGAATTTTAGGTGTTGTCTCTCCCACCTTCCCATGTATTTGTCTACGAGAAACTAAGTTAAAAACAGCAAGTGATGTAAAAGAAAAGAAAGGTGCTAAAATTCTTAATTATAAAAAAAAGTGTTGAACTTCCTATGGATATAATGATAATAATTGAGAATTGTCTGACTTTCTACGTGCAACACAGTTTTTCATATATATTCTGTATGTTTTTATAATTAAAGCCATTGGGGTACCTTTGTACCAGTACTGTATACGTATAACATTTTGTAAACAAACTTCTGATTGTTTTTGAACGAAAATCTTTTTAAATAGCAAATTCTGTCCCACATTTTTGCTTTTACAACACAGTATTCAGAGATTTCTCTTCTGCTGATTGTAATTATAATTATTATTATGCACATTTTAAGTATAAAAAATTACAAATATGTAAGAAGTATTGACTTCATATTGTTGCAAGTTAATGTGTTATAACTGTTTTCCAGGTACATTAAGGATGCCGATAACTCACATGTACCCAAGGCTTCAATGTGTCGCTGGGTGGTGCGCATAATTCTACTTGTATTTCAACTCGGACCGATTCTTAGGTAACACATATCCAGGATTTTGTTTGTAAACAAGCTATTTTGGAATTGTTTGCTGTGCTGTACATAATGATGCAGTTAAACCTGTTTATACTTTTGATTTTAGAATTTCATAATACACCTAAGTTAAAAAATTATTGTTATATATACATGTATTATTGTTTGCACATTTACAATAAAGAGCTAAAGCCTCATACCCTCATGGATAAAGAGAAGAAGTGTGAAGGGTGAGTGAGGTCAGACCTTAAAGAAGTGTGAAGGGTGAGTGAGGTCAGACCTTAAAGAAGTGTGAAAGGTGAGTGAGGTCAGACCTTAAAGAAGTGTGAAAGGTGAGTGAGGTCAGACCTTAAAGAAGTGTGAAGGGTGAGTTCAGTTCTGAAAGAAGTGTGAAGAGTGAGTGAATTCAGTTTTTAATGAGAAAAGTCAAGTTTTAGTAATAGATAGAACAGACACAATACATGATAAAATTTAATTAACAGCTATATAACAGGAAATACATATTACCTAATGTTCAAATTTCCATCCAGTACAATATTTTATGAATTGTTGTATAAATTAAAGTTTGTGTTTTGAATATTTATTTTCACATGTTAAATGTGAGAAATATTAATTATTTTTTTTGTATTGCATTTCTTTATATTTAAAACAACCGGCTTTCTTTCTATTGCACACTGAAGGATGGATGGGGTTATGAACCGTAGTATTGGTGTCCCTCTGGCAAGACAGTGATGGAGTGAGTGATGGTGAAAGTGTTTCTTTTTTTGGGTCACCCTGCCTCACTGGGAAATGGCTGGTGTGTTAAAAAATTGAAGAATTTTGGCTCATTTGATTAATGATAAAGTTACTGTGGATGATGGTAATGTCTATTTATTTCCTTTAACAGATATTTAGATTCTCTGTATCATGGCATCAAGAGTCAGAAATACTTCAAGAGAGGGGACAAGAAACAGCAACAGGCATACTATACTTTGATGTTGTATGAAGAGAGTGACGCAATTTTTCTCCGTCTCTTTGAGTGCTTCATGGAGGCGGCCCCTCAGGTTGTGCTCCAGCTGTACATCCTGACTCAGCATCCAGAGTCTGATGAATATGGCAAAAAATGGGGTGAGTGCTATTTATAGTACTGGAATATTACTGATGTTATATTCTATATACTCAATGGCTTTCATCTTCTTATTACATATATTGATGTCTTAGGGATTGTCTCAGGCTGTGATTTATAACTGTAATATAATGCTGAACTGAGCCCTGGAGGTGAAAAGTACAGTACTGAAGGATCAGTGAGGATGTTGAGGCTCAGAGGGGCATTTAAATTGTCATATCTGTACACTACTAGGAGGACAGCTATTGAACGAGTGATGGTGGGAAATGGCTGAAGGAGTAAAAATAATATTTTTAAAGTTTTACTTCTCATTTAAGAATTGTCATACATGCTTATCCCACTTACTCTTAACCCCTCCAGGGAGGTTCCTTGATGTTGGTGAGGGACTCTTGATCTAAGGAGGACCTGTGCTCCAATTTCTTGAATTAAGCCTGGTTACCTTCCATTTCCCAGGCGCTGTATGACCCATACAGGTTTAGTGTTCCCCCATGAATGTAATAATAATAATTCTCTTAAACATATGGAAGCATGTTTAGATTATTTCACATCTTGGAAACCTTGCATTATTGCTGGTTTGAGAAAGGCTTGGGAAAATTGTGAACATTATAAATGATTGGTCATTTCTCAAGTTGTGAGAATAGGGAAACCTGATATGAAGCTACATTATATGTATTTATAATTTTTATACATATTTACAATTTGCAGCATTTAGAAATATGCATAGCTTATTGACATAGTTAACAAGATAATGAAACATATGATTAAAAAATATCATGGTAATTGGTGTAGTATATTTATATTAACGTATTTTCAGAGTATGTACTGTTCCTCGGGTGTGTTACATCCCTCTTAAGCTTGGCTTGGGGTGTGACAGCGCATGCACGAGGAAGTAGATTCACCAACTTGAAGAAAAACAACATATCTATCCTTGGAACCTTTGTTCTTTTTCTGTGGCATATCTTCAGCATAGGTATAGTATAACAGTTACATTTTTTTCAACAAACCGGCCAAATCCCACTGAGGCGAGGCAACCTAAAAAGAAAAACGAAAGTTTTCTTGACAGTTACATCTAGTATTTACTTTCATAGATGAATAAAATTTCAACAAATTTCCTTTGTTTGACAGCTGTAATTTCCATATGCAGTAATGTTTTTAACTATCACTATGGTTGTTACCATGTTTCACCAAAAACCTGCATTTATAATGATATTTATAGTCCAGCTTGGACCATTGTCAAGTTAACATATATTTTCAACATCTTAATGTTTGTTCTACTCTGAACCAATGATGTAATGTATCTTACATTTAAAATGAGTAATTCTGTGTAACAAATATGTACAATACAGTGGACCCCCGCTTAACGATCACCTCCCAATGCGACCAATTGTGTAAGTGTATTCATGTAAGTGCGTTTGTACGTGTATGTTTGGGGGTCTGAAATGGACTAATCTACTTCACAATACAGTGGACCCCCGTTAACGATATTTTTTCACTCCAGAAGTATGTTCAGGTGCCAGTACTGACCGAATTTGTTCCCATAAGGAATATTGTTAAGTAGATTAGTCCATTTCAGACCCCCAAACATACACGTACAAACGCACTTGCATAAATACACTTACATAATTGGTCACATTGGGAGGTTATCGTTAAGCGGGGGTCCACTGTATATGGTTTTTAACAAGCCTGATATAAGAATATGATTAGTATTCAGCTGTTGTTTACAACGATTAATAAAGTGTGGTTGATCTTACTTGCAGGTGCTCGTGTCACTGCCTTGGTGCTCTTTGCAGCTAGGTTTCAGCTGTATTTGAGTGTAGTGTGTGTTGGTCACTGGATTTTAATGATTATGTGGCTTATGTCACGGAGATCTCTTAGTGGAGTGTGCTCCCGAGCTGTGGGAGAATGCTTTCTTAGGTAAAGAATTGACCCTAGTCATAAGGGTTCACCTTTGTTATAATGTTAGATTTATTTTACTAAAATCCTTACAGTTTTATTTATATTTATAATGTTATTGGATAGATTTGAGTCATGATTTCATTTGTGTCATTTATAATAATTGTAAACTGCATTGTGTTGTATTCAGGAGTTGATATATTAGGTAATAGGTCAGTGAAGGATGAAGGAAAATCATAGAATAGACAAGGGAAAATATTACAGGAGTGTTGCCATATTTTCGCGATTTTAATAAAAACTAATCACACTTTCAGTAGAGATAAATAATTGTAATAATATTTTTCAGTTGTGTATTGGGGGCTGTGTACATTTTTGTCTTCATCAATGACAAAGATGAGCCAACAAGAAAGAAATATGTCTTCTACTATTTTGTTTGTGGACTAGAGAATTTGGTAATGATAACACTGTTTCTAATATTCACCGATCCCTCCACGTGGTACTACATATCAGGTAGGTTCAGGAAGTTTATTGCACGTCTCTGGCAAAACAGTGGTAGTGTGAATGATGGTGAAATTGTTTCTTTTTCGGGCCACCCTGCCTCAGTGGGAGATGTCTTGTGATGTTTTTAATTGGAGACATATTACAACCTACCTGCAGTAATGCTTCCCAAGTATGTGTATGATGTATAGGTGCAATAGTGAAAATTATCATTGATTAAACATGCATCAGAAAGTTTTCTCCATATGAAACAATGTATGTTTCATATTTAAATATACAGTGGACCCCTGGTTAACGATATTTTTTCATTCCAGAAGTATGTTCAGGTGCCAGTACTGACCGAATTTGTTCCCATAAGGAATATTTTGAAGTAGATTAGTCCATTTCAGACCCCCAAACATACACGTACAAACGCACTTACATAAATACACTTACATAATTGGTCGCATTGGGAGGTGATCGTTAAGCGGGGGTCCACTGTATTTTTCTACTAATAATCTAGGGCTCTGGTGGCCTGGTGGCTAACGCTGTCGCTTCATACGGCGAGGATCTGAGTTTGATTCTCTGCCAGAGTAGAAACATTGGGCGTGTTTCTTTCCACCTGTTGTCTATGTTCCCCCATCAGTAAAATGGGTACCTGGGTGTTAGTCGATTGGTGTGGGTCACATCCTGGGACATTGACCTAATTTGCCCAAAATGCTGAGCATAATAAGGGGCTTTCTATATAGTAGTATGTCATTGATGTCAGCTAGGCCTGTATACCATGTACATGTACTTGTAGAAAATAAAGATATTATTATTATTATTATTCTTTCTTTCAACACACCGGCTGTATCCCACCGAGGCGGGGCGGCCCAAAAGGAAAAATCGAAAGTTTCTCCTTTTACATTTAGTAATATATACAGGAGAAGGGGTTACTAGCCCCTTGCTCCCAGCATTTTAGTTGCCTCTTACAACACGCATGGCTTACGGAGGAAGAATTCTATTCCACTTCCCCATGGAGATGAGAGGAAATAAACAAGAACAAGAACTAGAAAGAAAATAGAAGAAAACACAGAGGGGTGTGTATATATATGCTTGTATATGTATGTGTAGTGTGACCCAAGTGTAAGTAGAAGTAGCAAGACATACCTGAAATCTTGCATGTTTATGAGACAGACAAAAGACACCAGCAATCCTACCATCATGTAAAACAATTACAGGCTTTCGTTTTACACTCACTTGGCAGGACGGTAGTACCTCCCTGGGCGGCTGCTGTCTACCAACCTACTACCTAGGATTATTATTATTGCTTATTTGTTTATTAATCCCTGTCAGAACTTTTTGTGCTGATTTCTGCAAAGCAACTTTCTAGTATATACTGTGGGTGTAAACAAATTCAAGGTCCAAAATTTGTTTTACAAATTTGAGTCTGGTGAGAGTGAGGTGCGATAGTGTTTGTGTTGCCATTGTTGTTTAGTAAATTGTATGTGTCATTGTGGTATACACCTTGGTAATTGATACTCACAAATTGTATCATTGTACTGTTATGCTGAAGGAGACTTGCCATATGTAGATAATATTCAGATATGAGTATATTAATTGAGACCTGTATAAATAATCCATTTTTTATTATTTATATTTGATGCTTTTTTGCAAAATAGAGTATATTACTATATGATAAGCAAGCTTCAACTATGTATATCCATGTAAGTCTGTTTAATTAAAAGGTTTATGATTGACGGTCAAAAGAGAATGTAAGAATTTGGTGAAGGCTTCTAGATATTGGCAGTTTGGAGGGATATGTTGTGTATCTTTATGTGTGTATGCTTCTAGACTGTTGTATTCTGAGCACCTCTGCAAAAACAGTGATAATGTGCGAGTGTGGTGAAAGTGTTGAATGATGATGAAAGTATTTTCTTTTTGGGGATTTTCTTTCTTTTTTTGGGTCACCCTGCCTCGGTGGGAGACGGCCGACTTGTTGAAAAAAAAAAAAAAAAATTCTAGATATTACTGTATTGTTAATGGTATATGTTGGGTGACACAATCAGTAATATGAAAAGAAAATTGGATTAAAAATGAACAAACTATGGAACAGACGAGGTTTTAACGCACGGTGAGTGTGTCCTAAAACTCCAGGCCACAAATGCAAGTTTTTACAGATGAATCTCCCAGCAGTGTGACTGGCACGAGATTCATCTGTAAAAACTTGCATTTGTGGTTACAGTGGTGGCCCATGCTAACCTCCCTGTGGTGTATAGAAATATACCTAGTTGAATGACCCTTGTTGTAGCCAACTGGCCAAGTGGCTTGTGCACTGGCCTGGAGTTTTAGGATTCAGTCGCCAAGGGTTCAAACCCCACCTCTTCTGTGGTTTGTTTGCAATTGTATTATTATGATTCAGTGAATCAGTAAAATCAGATTAATTTGAAAGTACAGAACTTTTCCATTCTGGACTGAAAGACTGTACTGACATATTTGTTCCATTTCAGGTGTGGTGGTCTACTTCATATTATTTGTTCTGGGACTGATATTCATGACTCTGTACTACAGTCTCCTTCATCCTACAGTGCCACATGCTAACCACTCTCAAAAACTGCAGAAAACACAAGTGAATTCTCAATAAAAATAAAAGTACGTAATTTCTTGTCTCCCTGCAGTACAAGCTACCAATAAGTCACAAACCCAAAGAATGCAAATAATGTAAGTGAATTCTCAGTGAAGAGTCTCAAGCAATTCCTTGTACACTGCAGTATTCTACAGTACACTACCAAGTCACAAACCCAAAGAATACAAAGAACACAAGTAGATTTTTAGAAAGTCACATTGTTCCTAGGATAGAGTACAATGATATACGGTAGTAGCTTTTTAATCATTTGGCAAGTTGTTCAATCTGATACCCAAACATATAATGCCAAAAGAAGGAAGAGAATGCACAAAAAATAAAGGGCCATAAAAAATTATGTAATCACCCGGTGATGACAATGCAGTGCGCCCTCTGCCAGGTAATTGATGATTTAACATTTCTGAGTTGTGTAAGTTGTTAGTAATTGTTATACAAGGGCTGAATTGATGCTGTTTCTGCACATGTCCAGAGACGTACCTTAGTCAGTGTTCACCTCGATCAAATGTAAGACTTAAGTCACGACCTCTGTTAGTGTTCAATTTAAGATTAAGGAAGTTGTTACTGCATCCATCTTTTTTATTTTGTTTCACATATTTTGTGTATGAAAATGCTGCTGTATAATTGTACCAGTGCAATATGATTGCTGTTGTCAAGGCTTTATGCTTTACATGTCTTGTGTATGAAAGTGGTGCTGTATGAATGAAATATACTGCAGCATGCCTGCAGTATATTTTCAACCATCTCAGTTATCTTGTTACATTATTACTTTGTTAACAATTTTCATCTACTGTTTAGGCCTTCTCAGGAAGAGGATAACTTAAGATAAAAAAAAATTTTAGTTTTTCTTTTGTCACTTTGTTTCTGCATGGTAACTGGAGAATACCCTTTCAGATTGACCTCAGACTTTCAAAGATTGTGTATCATAGTAAAATAAGATACTTTAGGGCCAGAAAGAATAACAAAGCACAATATTATAACTGGAATGATACACACACCAATCCCACACATAGGAGAATGAAATTTATAGTATGACATTTCAGTCCAACTTGGAGCATTAACTAGTCACACAGAAGCATGAAGGGAAGAGAGCCAGTATACACAAAGTTCAACTGGGGCTAGATTTTTAGAAGGCTTTTACTTGGTTTCTGAGTGATGCCCAGTTGGCAGGGTTCACTAAACTCCTTACACTTTTTCTTTGACTCCCAGATGAAAAGTAGGCAGGAAAATTTAGATATATTTGTAGACATCCTTTATCTTTTCATATTTTCTCTCGTGTGTGTAAAGTTGATAAATAACACACGTGCAACAACTGCATATATTTCTTGAATAATACACATGTGCAACACCTGGGTGTCTTAACTGATGGATAAGTCATCTACAACATCTGGGTATCTTTACTGACGAATAAGACACATGTGCAGTATCTGGGTATCTTTATTGATGAATAAGACACTTGTGCAACATCTGGGTATCTTTATTGAAGAATGTTTTGCTCTTCAGGAGCTTTGATATAAAGTTTTGTGTGTTGAGCTTTTAGTCAACCTCTTAAATTACATTTTATTCATGTTTAAAATCAACAAACATTTGGTTTTGGGCAGTAACACACTGTAAAGTCAAAGATTTATTTCCACATGATACAGTGTTTGTACAGAGATGGCTGATATTTGGTTGTGCATGCAGAAAGCCCCTGGTTATGCAGAGCATAACTTGTATTCTTATGAACTTGTGTCTGTATGAGCAGTCTGTGAAAGCTGAGGTCACTGATAATGTTAAATTTCACTTTTGTTTTTGCTGTTTGCAGCATTAATCTTTGGTCGGTGTTTCAAAAAAGATTTCAAAATCAGAATGGGTTCTTGGGGATGATAATACCTTTCTTTGTTGCATACTAATCAAAGTATATACAGTATATTGCTGGGAGAAATCATTTGCAGAAAGGGTGTTTGCTTATGCAGCTCCTGAGCTGTATAATGGGTTACAAGTGTCTCTTAAGAATCAGGAATTTGTTGATGCTTTCAAGTCTTAGTTCAAAGAACATCTCTCTTCTAGAGTTTATGATCTTGATGATCATACTGGCACCCTTATGATGCCGATGATCATACTGGCACTCTTAATGATTCTGATGATCATACACTCACTCATCAGTACTAAATCTCCTCAGTATCTCTTCTTTATTGTTGTTGCTGCATATCTGGCTTGGTGTTAGAGTACTCAGGAATTTCTTGAAAGAACAGGCACTCAAGAATAACATAATTCTAAATTATTTTTGTTATGATGATCATGGGGACGTATTACATCTTGATCATATAGTGAGTGGGTAATGGGATTTAATTAGACTTGATCCAGAGAAGAGGAGCATAGTTCCAGTTTCTTGGCTCAAGATCCCTTCAGTAGCATCAAAGTACCCTTGCTTGAAGGGATGTAAATGAAAAGAATTAAATGAATTCTGGGTGAAGCTGTATGTATGGTCAAGTCGTCTTACATCTGATGCCCCTGAAGAATAAAAGTCACAGTATCAGAGCTGAAACAGTTCACCAGTTCTGCACTAAGGAGAGGAGCTGTATGACAACAATTCAGTCAGTCCTGGGCTACTGCTGTTAAATCTTGACTGACTGACTTTACAGTAGTCCAAGACAGACCAGAATGTTGTCATAACATTCCTCGCCTAGGGTTTTTTTTTTTTTTTTTGTAGTAAACCTAATGCCCTTGTTCACCTAGCAGTAAATAGATAACCTAATGCAACACGTGAGCATACATGTTTATTAGAAAATGTTTTGGTCGTGGGACCTTGACCCATATATGTTAGAAGTAATCAAGGTCCCAGACCAAAATGTTTTCTAGTATACATAACCCAATGTTTGCTTACATGTCTTTTTTTTTTTTTAATTTGTTGTGTGGGTTACATCCTAAGGAAGTGAAGTGAACATAATTACCACTTGGAATTAAACCACACTGCTTAATTTTCTAAGGTTATGCTTGGCTGTTAACCCTCTGAGGTTAATAAAAATACTGCGACTTTTCTTCTTCCAGGCAAACAAAACTTTGTATGACCTATATGGGTTTCGCATTACTTTTCTCTTTTTTTAAACACCTGCCGTCTCCCACTGAGGCACGGTGACCTGAAAGAGAAGGCATACAGTTTTTCTTCTTTTTCTTTTGGTAATGTTTACAGGAGAAGGGGTTACTAGCCCTTTCTCCCTGCATTTTAGTCGTTCTTTCGACACTCACGGCTTACAGGGGAAAGATTCCTCTCCACTTCCCCCTGCAGTTGTAGCATTAATTATTTAATATAATAATAATCCCAGGCATACAAAAGAATTATAAATACTGTTAATATTATGGCTATATTATATATTATATTCTCAACTTGAAGGATCTAATTTGTGTGAGACGTAGTGTTAGAAATATTGCCTTAGTGAAGAAGATAATCCTTAGTTTGTTATCTTATTTATTAAATATAGGAGTCTTTATCTTCCTTGTTAATGTGTTATATCAAACATGATCAAGCTTAATACAAATTTGAGAGTTAAATTCTTTAAAAATAGGCATTAATTTATTGGAATTTAATTTATTGGAATTTTAAGAATGTGATAATTTAGGTCTAATTATTTTGTTACAAATGTATATGTTGAATAAAATAAATTTATATATTATGTCTTACTGATTGAAGTATACACAGTTACCAGTTAATGTTAATCTTTCAGATCTGAATAGAAAAAATTGCTTACTAAGCAATTTATTATTTTTATGCAATGTTTATACAGTAATGTATTGAAGCAACAGATGTATTTTTTTAATTTTCATGTGAATAAATATTAGGTTGGGTAGAAAAGAGCCCCAGAAGCTTGTATAAGAGCCCCAGAAGCTTGTATAAGAGCTCCAGAAGCTTGTATAAGAGCCCCAGAAGCTTGTATAAGAGCCCCAGAAGCTTGTATAAGAGCTCCAGAAGCTTGTATAAGAGCCCCAGAAGCTTGTATAAGAGCCCCAGAAGCTTGTATAAGAGCTCCAGAAGCTTGTATAAGAGCTCCAGAAGCTTGTATAAGAGCTCCAGAAGCTTGTATAAGAGCTCCAGAAGCTTGTATAAGAGCCCCAGAAGCTTGTATAAGGCTCCAGAAGCTTGTATAAGAGCTCCAGAAGCTTGTATAAGAGCTCCAGAAGCTTGTATAAGAGCCCCAGAAGCTTGTATAAGAGCTCCAGAAGCTTGTAATAAGAGCTCCAGAAGCTTGTATAAGAAGCCCCAGAAGCTTGTATAAGAGCTCCAGAAGCTTGTATAAGAGCTCCAGAAGCTTGTATAAGAGCTCCAGAAGCTTGTATAAGAGCCCCAGAAGCTTGTATAAGAGCCCCAGAAGCTTGTATAAGAGCTCCAGAAGCTTGTATAAGAGCTCCAGAAGCTTGTATAAGAGCCCCAGAAGCTTGTATAAGAGCCCAGAAGCTTGTATAAGAGCTCCAGAAGCTTGTATAAGAGCTCCAGAAGCTTGTATAAGAGCTCCAGAAGCTTGTATAAGAGCTCCAGAAGCTTGTATAAGAGCTCCAGAAGCTTGTATAAGAGCTCCAGAAGCTTGTATAAGAGCTCCAGAAGCTTGTAATAAGAGCTCCAGAAGCTTGTATAAGAGGCTCCAGAAGCTTGTATAAGAGCTCCAGAAGCTTGTATAATAGCTCCAGAAGCTTGTATAAGAGCTCCAGAAGCTTGTATAAGAGCTCCAGAAGCTTGTATAAGAGCTCCAGAAGCTTGTATAAGAGCTCCAGAAGCTTGTATAAGAGCTCCAGAAGCTTGTATAAGAGCTCCAGAGCTTGTATAAGAGCTCCAGAAGCTTGTATAAGAGCTCCAGAAGCTTGTATAAGAGCTCCAGAAGCTTGTAAGAGCCCAGAAGCTTGTATAAGAGCTCCAGAAGCTTGTATAAGAGCCCCAGAAGCTTGTATAAGAGCTCCAGAAGCTTGTATAAGAGCTCCAGAAGCTTGTATAAGAGCTCCAGAAGCTTGTATAAGAGCTCCAGAAGCTTGTATAAGAGCTCCAGAAGCTTGTATAAGAGCTCCAGAAGCTTGTATAAGAGCTCCAGAAGCTTGTATAAGAGCTCCAGAAGCTTGTATAAGAGCCCCAGAAGCTTGTATAAGAGCTCCAGAAGCTTGTATAAGAGCCCCAGAAGCTTGTATAAACTCCAGAAGCTTGTATAAGAGCCCCAGAAGCTTGTATAAGAGCTCCAGAAGCTTGTATAAGAGCCCCAGAAGCTTGTATAAGAGCTCCAGAAGCTTGTATAAGAGCCCCAGAAGCTTGTATAAGAGCTCCAGAAGCTTGTATAAGAGCTCCAGAAGCTTGTATAAGAGCTCCAGAAGCTTGTATAAGAGCTCCAGAAGCTTGTATAAGAGCTCCAGAAGCTTGTATAATAGCTCCAGAAGCTTGTATAAGAGCTCCAGAAGCTTGTATAAGAGCTCCAGAAACTTGTATAAGAGCTCCAGAAGCTTGTATAAGAGCTCCAGAAGCTTGTATAAGAGCCCCAGAAGCTTGTATAAGAGCTCCAGAAGCTTGTATAAGAGCCCCAGAAGCTTGTATAAGAGCTCCAGAAGCTTGTATAAGAACTCCAGAAGCTTGTATAAGCTCCAGAAGCTTGTATAAGAGCTCCAGAAGCTTGTATAAGAGCCCCAGAAGCTTGTATAAGAGCTCCAGAAACTTGTATAAGAGCTCCAGAAGCTTGTATAAGAGCTCCAGAAGCTTGTATAAGAGCCCCAGAAGCTTGTATAAGAGCTCCAGAAGCTTGTATAAGAGCCCCAGAAGCTTGTAAAGAGCTCCAGAAGCTTGTATAAGAACTCCAGAAGCTTGTATAAGAGCTCCAGAAGCTTGTATAAGAGCCCCAGAAGCTTGTATAAGAGCTCCAGAAGCTTGTATAAGAGCTCCAGAAGCTTGTATAAGAGCTCCAGAAGCTTGTATAAGAGCTCCAGAAGCTTGTATAAGCTCCAGAAGCTTGTATAAGAGCTCCAGAAGCTTGTATAAGAGCTCCAGAAGCTTGTATAAGAGCTCCAGAAGCTTGTATAAGAGCCCCAGAAGCTTGTATAAGAGCTCCAGAAGCTTGTATAAGAGCCCCAGAAGCTTGTATAAGAACTCCAGAAGCTTGTATAAGAGCCCCAGAAGCTTGTATAAGAGCTCCAGAAGCTTGTAATAAGAGCCCCAGAAGCTTGTATAAGAGCTCCAGAAGCTTGTATAAGAGCCCCAGAAGCTTGTATAAGAGCTCCAGAAGCTTGTATAAGAGCTCCAGAAGCTTGTATAAGAGCTCCAGAAGCTTGTATAAGAGCTCCAGAAGCTTGTATAAGAGCTCCAGAAGCTTGTATAATAGCTCAGAAGCTTGTATAAGAGCTCCAGAAGCTTGTATAAGAGCTCCAGAAACTTGTATAAGAGCTCCAGAAGCTTGTATAAGAGCTCCAGAGCTTGTATAAGAGCCCCAGAAGCTTGTATAAGAGCTCCAGAAGCTTGTATAAGAGCCCCAGAAGCTGTATAAGAGCTCCAGAAGCTTGTATAAGAACTCCAGAAGCTTGTATAAGCTCCAGAAGCTTGTATAAGAGCTCCAGAAGCTTGTATAAGAGCCCCAGAAGCTTGTATAAGAGCTCCAGAAACTTGTATAAGAGCTCCAGAAGCTTGTATAAGAGCTCCAGAATGCTTGTATAAGAGCCCCAGAAGCTTGTATAAGAGCTCCAGAAGCTTGTAATAAGAGCCCCAGAAGCTTGTATAAGAGCTCCAGAAGCTTGTATAAGAAACTCCAGAAGCTTGTATAAGAGCTCCAGAAGCTTGTATAAGAACTCCAGAAGCTTGTATAAGAGCTCCAGAAGCTTGTATAAGAGCTCCAGAAGCTTGTATAAGCTCCAGAAGCTTGTATAAGAGCTCCAAAGCTTGTATAAGAACTCCAGAAGCTTGTATAAGAGCTCCAGAAGCTTGTATAAGAGCTCCAGAAGCTTGTATAAAGAGCTCCAGAAGCTTGTATAAGAACTCCAGAAGTTGTATAAGAGCTCCAGAAGCTTGTATAAGAGCTCCAGAAGCTTGTATAAGAACTCCAGAAGCTTGTATAAGAGCTCCAGAAGCTTGTATAAGAGCTCCAGAACCTTGTATAAGAGCTCCAGAAGCTTGTATAAGAGCTCCAGAACCTTGTATAATAGCTCCAGAAGCTTGTATAAGAGCTCCAGAAGCTTGTATAAGAGCTCCAGAAGCTTGTATAAGAGCTCCAGAAGCTTGTATAAGAGCTCCAGAAGCTTGTATAAGAGCTCCAGAAGCTTGTATAAGAACTCCAGAAGCTTGTATAAGAGCTCCAGAAGCTTGTATAAGAGCTCCAGAACCTTGTATAAGAGCTCCAGAAGCTTGTATAAGAGCTCCAGAACCTTGTATAATAGCTCCGAAGCTTGTATAAGAGCTCCAGAAGCTTGTAAAGAGCTCCAGAAGCTTGTATAAGAGCTCCAGAAGCTTGTATAAGAGCTCCAGAAGCTTGTATAAGCTCCAGAAGCTTGTATAAGAGCTCAGAAGCTTGTTATAAGAGCTCCAGAAGCTTGTATAAGAGCTCCAGAAGCTTGTATAAGAGCTCTAGAAGCTTGTATAAGAGCTCCAGAAGCTTGTATAAGAGCTCCAGAAGCTTGTATAAGAGCTCCAGGAGCTTGTATAAGAGCTCCAGAAGCTTGTATAAGAGCTCCAGAAGCTTGTATAAGAGCTCCAGAAGCTTGTATAAGAGCTCCAGAACCTTGTATAAGCTCCAGAAGCTTGTATAAGAGCTCCAGAAGCTTGTATAAGAGCTCCAGAAGCTTGTATAAGAGCTCCAGAAGCTTGTATAAGAGCTCCAGAACCTTGTAAACGCAAATATATATTTGTACTTTTTATAGTCCCAGTTCATGTACTATATTTGCATACGGTATATTTTTATCCCAAGTACAAGACTGCTGCATCAAATAGAATTATTTTTCTCTCTCCAAACATTTCTGGTTGTAAGGAATTTTTCATTCCAAAGTAATTCCAAATTGTATTGTCAAATAAAATATTTTTGCATCTTCATTTACTCTTTTGATTAATTGATTCCTTATTATTATATTGATTATGTGTACATCTGCAAGACTCCTTTCACATGATGGGAAGGAAGTTGTTCCTCAGTTTTGAAGAACTATACAGAGAAGATAGGGGAAGATTAGGCAATCAGTCCCTCAGTCTGGAAGTTTGTGTTGACTACTTCAGTCCTGATATACCAGTATTAATTGTTGTAGTGTGCTTAAGACTCAGTCATCAGAAAGACTGACTTTCCAAGGGAGGTTCCTTGATGCCACAGTACTGTAAGACCCTGGTGGGTTTAGTATTTAGTTTTGATTATAATCCTTAATGCAAGTGAAAGGCTCTTGTTCCGAAGAATTGGAAACGTCCCTTCTCTTCCCTTGGACTGAGCCTGCTTGCCTCCCATTACCCTGGCACTGTATGACCCATATGGGTTCAGAGCTTCCCACTAATCACAATAAGCAACAATGAGCACATTTTGAATAATATCAAATGATTAATTTTAAATTTAATGGCATCATGCACTAAAGGATAATGGAATCTGTCACATAAAATAAAATTATTTTGCCCAAACTGCTTCACATACTAGTGGCTACCAGTCTCTTACAACATGTAAACACTAATGACCCTTGCGAGTTTAGTGCAAGGTTCCTTGACAATAGTGAGAGGCTTTAGATCTAAGGAATTAGATCTGTGCTCCAGTTCCCTGAATTGAGCAATTGAGCCTGAATACCTTCCATCCCCCCCTATGCGTTGCATAATCCTACGGGTTTAGCGCTCCCCCATAATAATAATAATACACGTAAACTACGTTATTTTGTGCCACATAAAAATTGTATTTGTATTGTTTATCTCCATGAGAAGAGAATCCCTCTTAAATCTTTGGTAAATTAAGGTTGCGGCAACTGTGGCATGTAATACGAGTCCTGCCGAGTCTTGTTGACTGTGTTAATGTTGATCTTTCTATGTTAAATTCTTGCAGTTAACTGGATGTTCCAATGATAGTTTGACGTTATAGATTTTTTTTTCCAA